TATGTATATATATATATATATATATATACATACATAGATGTGTGTGGATGTGTGTGGATGTGCAGTATGTAGGTATGGGTATGTTTATGTATACCTTTCAGCAAGGTTATAATCATTATTATTATATAGATATGCATTTTTGATGCTGTGTTTTTGTTATCTCTGTTTCTGTATGTGTGCAGCCAAGATGTCAGGTGTATTGTCTTGTGTTTTCTCGATAGTATATATTTCATATATCTTCTACCGGTAATCTCTCTTTCATTCTTTCCCATTACATTTCACTTTTTTTCTTCTCTTTCTTTTTCTTCTTTAAAAAGTCACTGATGATGAAGAAACTAAGAAACTAATATTCAGTTCTGCTTTCTACGGAGGTGGCTAAAATAATAATTATAATTAAAAAAAAGAATGTATTAATCTGCACTGAATCATAAAAAATATATAAATAAGCTGAGCTGAATTGAATTAAATCGCACTGTGTGGGATCCCACCATTGTCCAGTTGCCAGTGTTACTGTCCCTTTCAGTCAGAATCTACTTATGAAGCCGGCAGTATTTCCTGTTGGCAGCTCCTCCAGAGCCTCTAGAAGTCAATGAGCATTCTGCCAACGATTCTCTTTCCCTCAGAGTTTGTTTCTGCCAAAGGGCCTGTTTGGCTCATGTCCTGGCTCAAATAAACAACAAAGAAAGAGTCCAAAGATGCTTTTAAAGGCACCTGGTATTGTGCTCTTGTTTCAGTTTTGTTGATGTGCCATTATCCTTACATTCCCTTACTAGAATAAAAATGTAATTTGTTGCAGCTTCAGAGTAGTATTATTGAATTTAGAAACATTTAAGTTTATTCTGCTCATGAAATCGAGTGTTTAACCAACGGCGTGTCTTTGTTTTTGTAGGTGACTGCGACAGATGCAGACGGTGGCTCCTTTGGCTCGATCACCTACTCTCTTGGCTCTGGCAGTAACAGCGCTGTTCCCTCTCAGTTTAATATTGGCAAGGAAAATGGCCAGATCTGCACTACTGGTGTACTAGACAGGGATCAAGGGCTGGACAGTTTCGACTTTACTGTTACTGCAGTTGACGGGGTAAGCCACCGCTTTTTGAAATCATTCTTAATATGAATCCATCGAGCCACAAGGTAATCCTATAAACACATCCACCGTGCTTATACTGACAAGAGAGTGAAGACAAACTAACTGTGTAAAAAATGTTCTGAATTCATCATGCAAATAAAACTAAAGTTTGAACAGCTCTCTAAGGTAGTTGGACTTACTGTAACTATCATGTTCACCAACTACCAAACAATGCCTAAAAAAATAAAACATTAAAAAGAAAATAAATTATTCTGGGTATGTTAAAGCAATCAGATGGAGAAATACCTCAACTGTCAGGCAGTAATAGTTTAACAAGCTGGGCTGTGGCCTCCCTCATTTTTGCCACCTGGTCCAAATAAAAAAGCCTGCACAGTATTCTCTTTAAATGAAAAGTCCATGAAACAGATTTTGGTTGCTGTGGGCCCACTCACCCTACATAGGTCATGACATATTGCTCTTTCCCAGGGGAAACTATCAATCTGTGTTAGTGCTCAAATCTGTTGGAACTATATTTTAGAGGCTACACTGTACATTAAAACTTTTACTGGTTATACAGCCTTTATATTTATTTATTTTTTTTTACTTTCACCGGGAATAATGTAGTATACAGTATATATAGACACAAAAATGTGATCTAAATCCTGCTTTCCGGTGTTTCATCCTGCTCGTGAGCTGCTATACACAAAGGTATGACAAAAACACTTTGTTTCATCTGCAGGGTGGACTGAGCTCCGTAGCCTATGTGAAAGTAGATCTGGTCGACATTAATGACAACAGACCTGCTTTCTACCCACTCAGCTACGCTGTTAGTTTGAGCACACAGAGTGCCCCTGGGACATCTGTTGTCAGAGTGACAGCCTATGACCCAGACTCAGGCGAGAATGGGAAAATTACTTACAAAACAGTACCTGGAGGAGCATCGCCATACTTTACACTCAATAAAGACACAGGTTGGCAAAAATATTACTACCCTTTTCTGCCCATTATCTGCTGAATTCCTTTCAAAATTGATTTTTTTCAACCTTTTTGTAGGTGTCATCTCTCTGTCTCGCTCTGCCTATGGGAAGGCCAACTCTGTCATTACCATGATTGTCACTGCTCAAGATGGTGGAGGTCTGTTTGTATTAGACCATGCTAAGGTTAACATCAGTGTGGTAGCAGGGCTGGTGGCACCACCTGTATTTGAACAGACTCAGTACTACTTTACTGTATCTGAAGACGCCCTGCGTGGGACAGTTGTAGGCATTGTCCAAGCCAGCAGTAAGACAGGTAGGCACAGCAGAAACACACTGTACTTTTGATTCACTTCTGAGTGGTTCTTTTTTTTTTCTTAATGCAGTTTTTGGCTACTTCTTTGGTAATACAATATTCTGTTGAATTCCTTGTTCTGACTCTTGGGCTTTCCTAATTTCCAGGCATTTCCAAGGGTGTCTCCTACACCATCAGCTCTGGGGACCCTGCAAGCTACTTTACTGTAGATCCTGACAGTGGAGTCATAAGAACAAGTCTGCCCCTGGATCATGAAATCCAGTCATCTGTTGACTTGGAGGTGCAGGCTCACAGTGGCAACCCCCCAGCGTTTGGCCAGACTCGTGTCCACATCTCCATCGCCGACATCAATGATAACCAACCTGTTTTTCTGCCCTCATCCTCTGAGTCCCTTCTTCTACCAGAAAACACAGAAATGGGTGCAGTGGTGTATAGAATCCAAGCTGAGGACAGAGACTCTGGTGTTAATGGACAGCTCACCTTTGATCTTTCCTCTCCAAGTGGAATCCAGAGAATCTTCAGTGTAGATCGCAGTACCGGAGAGATCCGATTGGTGGGGAGCCTTTCCTATGAAACAAACCCACGTTACGATCTCCTGGTGGTTGCCAAGGACAATGGAGTACCCCAGCTTAGCGCCACCTTTATGCTTGTGGTTCACGTCCAAGCAGAGAATGAACAGGGACCTGTGTTTGACACCCTCACCTACCGCGTGGAACTAAAAGAAGGAACACCAATAAACACACGCTTCCTGCAAGTAAGAGCTTTGATCAGAGAGATCCAAGGCTCAGGTCACCTGACTCCTTTGATGTATCACCTCCGTCCTGATGGAGATGCTGCAGGGTTTGGTATAGCTGCAGAGAGTGGTTGGCTGTTTGTGAAGAGTGCCCTTGATAGGGAACTGAAGGATATGTATATTCTGACAGTAATGGCCAGTGTGGGTCATGGACAGTTAAAAAAGACAGGCAGCGCTACAGTCCGAATATCAGTGACTGATGAGAATGACAACTACCCTCGGCTCACGCAGGAGAAAGTATTTATGGCTGTTAGAGAAAATCTGCCTGCGGGAACAGGTTTTGGACACGTGTTAGCCACCGACAGAGATGCTGGCTCCAATGGGCGTCTCAACTACCGCTTCCTGCATCCTGACCGCAACTTCCAGATTAACACCCACACAGGTTAGATGGAAATCTTATGGTTTGGTTTTATTGATGTGTTTAAACAACACAGAGGATTATTCAATTTATTTCAAATGACACAAGGCTCTGGTGTATTCAAGCAAGAAAAAATGTGCACAAACATATATTTCAGATGTTTTGAACTGACAGTGGAAAAAGAAAATTGAAAAAGAAAACTACGAGTGATTCTGATGTGAATCATGAAGGACCAGCATCAATATTTTATTTTATTTTTTTATGTTTTTATTTTTTTTAAAAGCTGTGATCAGCCAGTCACTGAGTCATCTTTTAAAGATGAGAGAAGAAAGTTGCCACCATACTCCCTGTCATAAATAAGGCACATAACAGTGACAGCAGCACTAAGCATCTTGCTGGTCTTTAATTGGCCCGCTGAGCCTGTTAGTCTGTGGGAAGAGACTCATGCTCTGATTTGTGATCAGCGTCTGGCTGAGCTGTAAGTGTGTACAGGATCTGCCAATCTTTTAGAATTCTCTAATTTATGAGTGCGAGTTTCTGTGCATATGAAAGCAGAAATCCACACACTGTGTATGTCCATTACTTCTGAGTATCATTGATACAATCCTGGTGGCTGCTAAGTCTCTCATCATTATTCCAGTAGACTAGTGTTGCTGCTTGAACTCCCTCTCATCCATCCTCTTTACTCTGCAGGTGAAATAAGTACAAGGATGACTCTTGACAGAGAGCAGCAGTCAAGCTATCAGCTGGTGGTGGTGGTACAAGACGGTGGTTCGCCCCCTTGTTCTGTGACGGGCACCATCTTCGTTACAGTCCTTGATGACAACGACAATGACCCTGCTTTTATCCACAGCCAGTCGGGCAAAGATATCATATTACAGGTGATGCTGAACATTTTTATGCTTATAATAAACATGTACAGGAATAATTAAGAACGATTTGATTTGATAACAGTTCATAGGGATGTGATGTGATTATAAAACAATTAATTATGCATCTTCATTATCTGCAATTTTCAGATTTGTAAATAAACTCCTGCAGTCAGCTGGATAGCTTATGTTTAGACAAAGTCATGTAAAACTGAAATACAACCATGCAAAATGTATACAAACATTTAAAAGTCATTACTAAAGACAGTTATGTCATGATCATTTCAATTTATTGCTTGTAGAGTAACATTCTTCAGGCTTCAGCAAAGCACAACTGCTCCGCTGACTCTCTTAAATTGGCAGCACAAACTAACTAACAAAATCAATATTTGACATTTAAAAATCTATGCAGAATCATCCATATCCATGGTGGGGTGCATTTATAGATTATTACCCCTATCCCCTATTACTGATGTGTGTTTTTTGATCAATAGGTGACAGAAGGTCAGGCTGCTGGGGCTGTGCTGGGCACACTGCAAGCCAAAGATCCTGATGAAGGGGAGAACAGCACCTTATTCTACTCTTTGTCAGGTATATAAGTAATAAGTTAGGTAACAAAAAGTAATTTATTGATTTTGCTTCTGTGTACATCAAAGCACATCGCTGTCACAATAATTTGTCATATTTATCATCTAATCCTTTTACCGTTTCAGGCTTGTGTGGTTTAGTCTTTTTACATGTGTCATCTCCAGTTAAATTTTGAACTTTTTGTCTCTCCAAGGTCCCAGGGCTGAGCGCTTCTCTTTAAATGCAATCACTGGTGAACTGCATTCATCATACCCTCTTATTCACTCAGAACGAGCTGAATACTCTCTGACAGTGACAGCCACTGACAGAGGACTGCCCCCTCGCAGTGCCTCCTGCTCCCTCACCATTCAGGTCAGACTCGCTGGAGTGCAGCCAGCGCAAACACTCTCACTCTCACTACACACCTATTTAATATCAAAGAATAGACTTGGGGCTGAGAGAATCCATGTCTCAGGGCCCCTCAGACTAGCTGCCGACATATCAGCCTCACTTCTGACAAGGTCGCGTCCCGCCCTCCTCCCTTTTTCTCCTCTTGTGAATTTTCAAAAAGGAACTTTCTATCTGAAATGGAAAAAGTGGGTCTAAATTAAATACTCCCAGCTGGCTTATGATGAGGACCAGCTGGAGAACACACTGATCAAGGTCACGCTCAATGACTTCAACACTTTTTTTCATACAGTAGTCCTTTTTACAAAGAGTGGCAGGGCTTTACTTACACTCAACATAAAACACAGCTCTGACGACGATTAACGTTAATATTTAATATAAAACAGAAATGGACACAATGAAAGAGACCTGGAAGAAACCACAATTTATAGATTCCTGGAAAATAGAGCTGGCAAATGAAACACTCCTTCAAATACAATAAATTTTTCTTCCTTCCCAATAACATAAAAAAATTAAAAACATAATTATTAGCTAAGTGAATTAAACAGTACACTGTTTTTCTTGCCTGCTGACATATTTACACATTTTCATATTAATCATCTTTTGGACTGCTGTTTAAGTTCCCTCACTAATAAAATCGCTCTATATCAATTTATTTTGGGAGCGCTCATTTTCCTTAGATTGTGTAACCATTTTACAGCTTGTCAACAACTATAAGAAATATTAATTAAATTATTTATTTAAATTTTGACTTAATACTGTGGGAACTGCTGCTATTTTATTAAACATGACATTTTGTGTTTTTTTATAGAGGGCAGTAGTCTTTGAACATATTCTAAACAGTCCATCAAAAGGAATTTAACACTAGAAATTTATGTCCCAGCGCTAAACTCAAATATCTTTAACTGTTTCTCCCTTAAATGGTTCTACTTTTAACATGTATGTTTTTCCTGGCAGTGAATATTAAGATTAGGAGTGATCATTTGGAACAGCCTTGTTAAGTCTATCAAAACCTCTTGTATTGTTGGATTTTATTTCTTGATAAAAGTAAACTCTACTTTTGCTTCGTCTAAAATTTTTAAAATTCCTTCACTTATAATTGAAAATTGAAGTCTTTGCTTCCAGACAGTTTTAAAAAAGCCTCCTGCTTGATTCCGCTGTCCACTGATATTGTGTGTTTCTTTTTGTTCTTGTAGGTTATCAGCATAAAGAGAGTTACCTCTAAGACCGATTTACATTCTATGTTTTTAAACTCTGTGGAGGAGACAACTCCTGGCTCAGTGATTGGTTCTGTGCGTCTCCATGACAGAGGAACCTTAGAAGAAGGCAAGGTGACCTACACAGTAGTTGGTGGTACAGATAAGGATGGAACCTTTGTTGTGGACCATCTAACTGGGGATGTGTACTTGGCTTGTCCTCTTGACTTTGAGCAAAACGCACAGTACAACCTGAAAATTGAGGTGGATGACTTTTCTCAGATCCCTCCCAGTAGCACACTCGTCAGCTTGGACATTGACATAGAAGACAGCAATGACCATACCCCTGAATTTGCTGAGGACCCTATAACCATTGTCATATCTGAAAACATGGAGACTGGCTCTTCTGTCTACACTTTCCAGGCCACAGATAAGGATGGCAGTGGGCCCAACAGCGAGCTGATGTACTCCATTCTTCACCAATGGCCAAACACCCCTGGCCTTTTAACTCTTGACCCCATCACCGGTGTTCTCTCATTGGGTCGCAAGTTGGATCATGAGGTCACGTCCTCATTGATCCTTGTTGTTAAAGCAACCGACTCACCCCTCAATGCGAGCCAGAAGCGCTGGGGTTCCGTCACAGCGAGGATGTATATCACCGATGAGAATGACAATCCACCAGAGTTCATTTCACCAACGGCTGTCAGTGTCATGGAGGACCAGCCAGTGGGCTTTGTGGTGCTTTTTGTCATGGCTAGAGATGCAGACCAAGGGGATAATAGTCGATTGACTTATAGAATCCAATCCGGCAACACTGGAGGGACATTCAGCCTCAACTCAAACACTGGTAAGTCAGTCAGTGCAACCCAGTAGCAGTGTAGAAACTTTCATTTTCAGTGTACAAATTGATACAATGTTAAGAGAAGTATTATTACCTCTGGGATTACTCTTTTTGTCTGAATGAAGATACAAACTAAATTAAACACACATTCCATAAAAAGTTTAAACCTACTGATTTAGAAATGATGCACCTGTTGAACTGTTTTTGGTCATTTTATTTACCTTTTTTGCATTGCATTTATACTTTTCATTGTGCATAAACAGTCCTCTCAACAATGTCACCAAATTGTTTTTTCAGAATAATGTAATACTTGTAATACTTTGCTTACAACTAAGTACAACGTTATCTTGCTTCACTTATCATAACTTGTTTCTCTTAGTTTTAGGCTGAACACAGCAACCTGCCAAACATTAAACACACACACATGAGAATGTGCAAGCACACGTGCACACACAACAACCCATCATCTGTTATTGTGGATCTATTCCCATGAAAGACCAAAGAAACCCCTGCTCTGGCTTCTGGGAACCATTAGAGAAGGGATCAGTTACGCATGTTTGTGTGTATGCATGTGTGTATTTGTAGGCGTGCTCGTGCACGCGTGTTGGTGCGCTTCCATTACACTGCCACTTAGTCAACGCTGACCTTGAGCTATTTGGTCCTGGGGGCTTTATTGTGGTGTTTGAGACACGTGTCAATGCTTGCTCCACCTCCTCCTTTAAGTCTTGACCAGGATGGCCTTTCAAGCACCTTGTGGGGATGGAACCTTTCAGTATCTGTCATGCATGTCGCTTGTTTAACCAGGTGTGGACTCATCTTGAAGTGTTTTCATACACACTGGTTATTTGTTAGAATAATGGCAGAGTTAGGGTTAGCACCTGGTTGGCTTCTGTTTTGGGGGTCATTGACTGGACCCGACACCAAGTCAGCACACTGTTTCCATTACTTTGGTGTCACTGTTAACCACAACAATGAAAACCATGAAGCCATTAATAGAAATTTGTATAGTCATAAAGCAAAATTAATTTTCATCAGTAGTTGTCAGAAGTGAGGTCATTAATTTCACTTTCACACTGAAGGGAGAGTGTGCTGTTGATGAGGTGAATATCACCTCAGCTAAAGACAACAGTGTGCAAGAATTAACACATCAAATGGTTTTAAATAGATTCAGAACAAGGAATACTTGTTGTCTGTAGAACCCTTGCCAGCCCATACTCTACAGTTAAAAGTGAGCTCCAAAACCTCACGTAGACATGGAATGTTGGAGTTAAAACTGTCAATTTTTTTTCTCAATAACTCACTCTTGGGATCCCCCCCCCCCCCCCCCATATGTTATCAGTGACTGAGGATACGGCAGGATCAAAGAAGAATCAAATTTAGGTGGAAAAAATACCAGCCTTTAACTTTTACCAGACTAAAGCTTAGGGGCAAGTTATCTCATTCCTAGCAAAACACAACGTGGAAAAAAGTGCACTTGAAGAGGTTAAAACCAAAAACAATCCTGGCTCTTGCTGTCTTTAACAGTTGCATCTCATTTTAAGGCATGAAATTGAAATTGAATCAATGTGAGCTTTAACCTCTCAGGGCGAGATAATGAAAAAGGCGAGGGTGCCCCTAATTTCTACAGAGCACGGCATGCCTGGCTGTTGCGTGTCTAGAGTATGTGTTTACTGCTTCTTTCTTGATGGTTGTGGTGTTCTTTAGTGGAAAATCTTGTAAACTGTGGCAAGGCCATTTGGGCTTTTACAGCAGTGGTGGTGGTAGCAGTCAGGTAGGCAAAGCTGTATGTGTGGAGCAGATTAGCTTTGATTTGGATTTCACACAGCAACTTTTCACACTTACTTTTTAAATAACCTGAAGACACACCATGCTAGATTTACTCCTTTTGATAAAATCAACAAGTTTTTTATGTAATAGACTATAAAATTGCAACATAGTTGACAAATATAAGAAATATTTTGTAACATTTGATGCTTAATTCATGTTTGTACAGGTTCTCTGTCTATTTTCAAACCTCTGGACCATGAAGAGCAGGACATCTTTAACCTCACAATAGTCGCTGAGGATCATGGGATACCCAAACGCTCGTCCAGCCAGCTGTTGTGTGTCCATGTGATAGATGTTAATGATGAGATTCCCTGGTTTGAGGAGAGCCTGTATGAAGCCCAAATTTCTGAGAATGAACCTGCAGGGACCACTGTTTTAACAGTGTCTGCATCTGATCTGGACCAAGGTGAAGTGTATAACTAACAGCTACTAAGTTCCTGACAGTTTTAGAGAATGTCATCAATGTCATCATTTAATATGAACCTGGTCCTAATGACATGCTGAAATAAAGCTAATAATGTGATAACAGTTTATGTGGACTAAAACGGCTATTTTTTCTGACGTTTAATCAGGACTCACTGAGAAACACAAAAAAAATCTTGTTCTTGTTTTAAAAGCAGGATTATGGGCTAAAACATTTTAGACATTAACAGTTGTTTTTAATTAAAGTCTTCACAGGAGGGTGCAGAAAGTTGGTGAGAGCACAGAGAAAATACATTACCCTGGACTTAAAAGCACATAAACCAGAAGAATTATAAACTTTCTAGTCAAAAGCAATTAGCAAAGTAAACAGCTAAGGTTGCCAGACTACTTTGTTTTAGCACGCAATCTGGCATCCAGACATCTAAGGAAGTGTGTCATTGCCAACTGCTTAGACAGCAGATTTCATTCAAATAAATGAGAATACCTTCTAATAAAACAAGAGGTACCTTTTGACTTTGTTTGATGGTGATGCATGAATGACTTTTATGTTTTCCCAACTGTTATTTATTTGGAACATTGTTTACTGTGTGTTTTCCTGTAGGAACCAATGCATATGTGACATATGGTGGTATTGCACAGGGAGGTTTTAGCATCAACCCAGTCACAGGTGTCATAACCACCTCTAAGCCATTGGACAGGGAATCTCAGGATTTTTATACTGTGACAGGTAATTTTCTTTATCTGTTCTAAAGCACTACAGATAGAATTGACTTTACTATGATAAATCAAATCAAGGGTTTATTGTTGTTTACATCACATGTATGGTAATGCATGTTTTTATGTCTTGCAGTTTATGCAAAAGATGGAGGCCTTCCACCCAACTATGCTAAAGCAACAGTGAAGATCAAGGTACTTGATGTTAATGACAATGCCCCTGTCTTTGGACGGCTCTACTATAGCATTGATGTGCCTGAAAACCTGGAAGCGTTGCCTCTGTTCACTCTAAAAGCCACTGACTTCGATGCAGAAAAAGGAGGGAAGATAAGCTACATAATTGCAGGTGTGACTTTATTTGAGTGCCATGTTTCCTAAATGTTTAGTAGAACTGCTATACAATTTTATAATTTAAAGTGGCAAGTTTTGAATGTCAGCAATCCTTTGCTCTCCTTGCAGCTGGTGATCCATCCGGAGACTTTCACCTTGACAGACAGTCAGGAGTGCTGCATACTTCAAGGCCTCTGGATCGGGAAAAGAGACCTGGGTATACTCTAACAGTCATAGCCCATGATCAGGGCCAACCGCCCCTCAGTGGCACTGCCACTGTAGAAGTGACAGTTCTGGACATCAATGACCACAGCCCACAGTTTCAGAGCAGTAGCTATACTGCTGATGTTTCTGAAGATGTCCCCATTGGCTCACTGGTTCTAGAGGTGAAAGCCATTGATTTGGACTATGGACTTAACAGCCAGGTCTTCTACTTCCTAAGCCAGGGCTCTCACAGCATGTTCATCGTAGACCAGAACACAGGTCGCATCATCACAGCAGCCCCCCTCGACAGAGAAAAAACTGCCTCTTACACTTTTGAAGTGTGTGCCACTGATTCCTCCCCCACAAACCCCAAAAATTCAACTGCTCAAGTTACTGTCTACATACAAGATGTAAACGACAATGCCCCGTTCTTCATTCAGGACCCACTTATTTTGAACATCTCCACCAGTAGTGTGTCCAGCCGTAGAGTACTGGCCACCATGAGGGCAGAGGACAAGGACTTTGGGGCTAATGGCTCAGTTTTCTATCGTTTTGCCAACCCTGTGAGGGGCTTTACCATTAATTCACTGACAGGAGACATCCAGGCCACAGAGAAGCTGCAGACTATGACACAAAGCCAGAGAACTTTGATAGTTCAGGCCATGGATCAAGGAAACCCTGCTCAGTCTTCCCTGGGCGTGGTTATCATTTACATAAGGGAACAAACGTACAGGGGTATTCGCTTCTCCCGCACAGCCAGAGATGTCAGTCTGCAAGAAAATGCAGCCAAAGGTTTGAACGTATTATTTAACTATATATGTATGCACATATCTAGACAATCAATTGAATCAAGATGTTTCAACAATGAATATTTCTTTATCGTTCAGGCACAGTAGTAACACAGACTCAAGCCCAGTACCCTGATGGCTCTAAAACTGGTATCAGCTACAGCATTTTTAGTGGAAACAGAATGCAGTCTTTTGGGATCAACTCCATTACTGGTAAGTGCACCTATCACTGCCCTCACTGCGTTATCTTCCAATCCAATTAGTAATTTATTTCTGCTTTGCTAAATTAGGTGAAATATGGGTCCAGCAATCTGAAGGACTTGATTTTGAAGAGACCCCTAAACTCCGCCTGGTGGTGAAAGCTGAGACAGCGTCCTCCATCTCCTACATGGCTGTCAACTTAATTCTGCAGGACATAAATGACAACTTGCCACGCTTTCAGCTGCAGAACTATGTAGCATACATAAGAGAGGCACAGGGCTATGATTTTCCTATTATCCAGGTGCAGTAGCCAGTCTTCTACTTGTTTATTATGGTTGGCTGTTGTTGAAGTGTGCTGAAGTGTGAATTTCTAAAACTGAAATGGAAAAACTGTCAACTTTGGGAAATCTGGATTGTTTCAGCACAGAATAAAAAGGCTCTAGTCAAAGTCCCTAACTAAATTTACTTTATATTCAGGAGAGCCATCAAGTTGAGTCCACGTACAGTAGCTCATTTTTTATGATCTCTTGACGTCCAAGTTCAGTTTTTCACTCAGCTCCAAGTTTCACTGAAAACCAGCTGTTGTAAATATTTCTTTTTATTTTTGTTTCCAAAATGTGGTGGTCATTTCTTCAGGTTGCTGCTGATGACTTGGACCAGGGTCAAAATGGTCAGGTGACCTACTCTATTAGGTCATCATCCATGAGTGGCTTGTTTAAGATCGACCCCTTGACTGGCAGCATCTCCACTGCCGCCATAATGGACAGAGAGATCTGGACGCAAACAAAGTGAGACTTCTGCATGCAACTAGTTGCCTGTACTCCTAGATGCTCTGTATTGCAAACACATGTATTATGTGTCACAGTTTCCCTAATCAAAACCTTGGTTATATTGCATTAGTGAAGATGAGATTTTAAGTGTTTTTATTACAAATAATCAACGGTTTTTAAAGGAAATGATGATTAGTTCCAAGACACTTTCATTTGGATTTTTTTAGAACATGTTAGACTTGTTGACGTTAAATTGACAAAAGCTGCTCAGAAAATTATTTTGTTATTGAAGGGAAAGAGAAAAACTTAGAAAAATTGTAAATACTCATACACTATAGAAGTTATATAGTTTTTTTGGGGGGTGGGGTGGGGAGTTATATAGTTTAATTTGATGCCAGGTAAAGGGTTATCTTAACAAGTTTTCTATTCAACTCTGTTTATATATTTCGGAGGATAGAACAAAAGGCATTATTCATTATATTTCAAATTGTATATTCCAGTAGTTATTCTCTATTTGATGACTTCAGAAATTAAACAGTATATAGCAAAGTACAAAAAAAAGTTCAGATACTGATTTTTCATTATTTGGCAACAGGCTTGTTGTTGTGGCAACGGACCGGGGAACCCCACGACTGGCTGGCTCTGCCACGCTCACTGTGATCATCATTGACCTCAATGACAACAGTCCTATGATTCCTCCGCCTCGTGAGATCCGGGTGCCTGAGGGTAAGCTTCACAGTGGAAGTTAGTTGAGTGATCTTATCACAAAGCCTCCCTGGCAGCTTATTCAGTGGGGCTCAATGAGAAAAATCTGACCCCTTTATGAAACAAGTTATTGCCAAGGTTTCTGTTTTCATATCCTGTCTGTTAGATTGAGGCTTTCAAGAATATAATGTTCCTTCTTGAAAGAAAAAAAACCCTCATTACTTTGACTCTGTGTTTTAGTTTTGATGAAATCTTAACGTCCCCTCTCCTTTTCCATATTTGCTTTTCTTTTCACACAAAAACAGACACTCTCATTGGCTCAGTTATCACCCGAGTAACAGGAAATGATGTGGATTCTGGTCCACCCCTCTCCTATTCACTACATCTGGATGCAAACATCCAAGGCATGTTTGGGATTCATCAATATGGAGGAGAGGTGTCTTTGACTGGCTCATTGGACTACGAGGAAAGGACGTGGTACACTCTGACAGTCCGCTCATCGGACTCTAAACATCAAAGCGAGGCTAACCTCACTATCCTTGTGGATGATGTGAATGATAATGCCCCCACTTTTACTTACGATTTATACCAGGTACAACTATTTTTGCACATTTTCATCATATCTTATTATTCCATCAATTTGAATACCAGAATGTTTAAGTCGATGAAGGATTAGGAATGTATATTGTCATAATGATACGCTGTGTTTCTGAACAGGTGACTATATCAGAGCACCTCCCAGCAGGCAGTTCAGTGATCACAGTAACAGCCACTGACCATGACTCTGGAGAGAATGGAAAAATAACCTACAAAGTAATGTCATCAACAAAGGGTGATTTCTTCATTGACCCAAGCAATGGTAAGATCATAGTGTTCACAGTGAGTTGTTTCTAACCATGTAAACTAAATAAAAAATATTCTAGATCTTTGAACTTATTTGCAAGAATCAATCAAAAGAGCATTCTTTGAAGCATCTCAATGAATGAAAATGAAAACTAAAAACTGCATTTTATGCTATTCTGCTCAGAAATTTTACATTGTGAATTGAACAGCTTTAAAGGGGCAATATTATGTGTTTCTCAGGCCTATATTTAAATACTATATCATAATAAAGTATCTATGTCACCTTTAGCTGTGATTAAAATGCTGTTTTTATGTTTAAACAGAAAATAAACTTATCTTCTCATCACTTCCTCTTCTAAACACCTTGAAATTGGCCTCTGTCTCTTTAAGAACCACCGTCCGCTTCCGTTTTGCCCATTTCGATGCGGAGGGAGGGGGGTTGCGCTCTTCCATGAGGAAGTTCAGCTCAAAGACACGTCCCAGGGGCGTTTCTGGTACCAAAAGGTGTTTCTGGTCCCCACCTGTTGTTTTGCTCCTCAGCATGACTTCCTAAAAATGCTGCAGGATTTCTCAAACATGCATGAATGAGTCAAAGCAAGACTCTGGGCATGTTTTTTATGAGAGTTTAACATTATAACATGATATAAAACTCAAAAAAGTTGATTTTACATGATATTGCCCCTTTAAGAAACCATTTCCTAAGTTGAAGAGGATATTGAAAATACTTTTTTTTATTTTCACAGGAACTCTCTTCATCAAGCATAAAACAGAACTGACATTTGAGCATTCCTCCATTCTTGTGGTGATTGAGGCCCGGGACCAGGGTTCTCCAGCTCTGTCATCCATTGCCACTGTGCAGGTCCACGTTTCTGACATCAATGACAATGCTCCCATCTTCCACCAGTCAGAGTACAGAGCCACTGTGTCCGAGGATGGGCTACCTGGATCAACTGTTCTAACTCTAGAAGCAATGGATGGAGACTTGTTCCGGGAAAACTGTGGCTTTGATTTTGCCATTGCTAGTGGGAACTCTGGTAATGCCTTCCAGATTGAGAGCAGTGTGCGCTTCTTGGAGGGCCGGGGCTTCCAGACGATTGGTAGCCTGATCCTGGCAGAAAAACTGGATTTTGAAGTAGTTCCAAGTTATAACCTGACGGTTGTGGTAACAGACCGTGGGATCCCTCAGCATAGCTCCAGCGTACCTATCCTTATCAGTGTTATGGATACTAATGACAACCCTCCGGCGTTCAGCCGAACAGCTTACAGTATAGTTTTAAGTGAAAGTACCACAGCAGGGACCGAGATTTTACACTTATCTGCCACAGATCCAGATTCTACCCCCAATGGAGAGGTGCAGTACTCAATAAGCTCTGGAGATGAGACACACTTGTTCAAGGTGGACCATTGGACTGGAGTCTTGAGACTGCAGAGACCTCTAGACAGCAATATAAAGCAATCCCATTTGATTGTTATCCAGGCTACTGATGGGCAAGGATATTATGCTTTAGCTCCAGTCACTATTGAAGTAAAGGACATAAACAATAACAGGCCCTTCTTCCCCCTAAAGCTAGTGACTGCAAGCATCAGGGAGAACCAGCCCCAGAATGCCTTAGTTACCATGCTGCATGCTATTGACCATGACAGAGGTGTTTTTGGACAGCTGAATTACTACATGGTAGATAGCGCCAAAGCAGAAAGAGAGGGCTTTTTTATTAACCAAACATCAGGCGAAGTACGAACTCGCTCCATGTTTGACTTTGAGAAAACAAATTTCTTTCATTTTGTGGCAGTTGCTATGGATGCTGCCAATTATTCAGCATCCGTGACGGTGCAGGTTTATGTCACAGGGGAGGATGAATATGATCCCGTTTTCATCGCCTCCGAGTTCTCATTTGAAGTGCCTGAAGGAGCTAAGAAAGGTCAGATCATTGGCACAGTACAAGCCAGAGATGAAGATGGAGGCATTGATGGCATTGTCCTCTACTCATTATCAGATCATTCGCCTTACTTTGAGGTCAATAAATCAACTGGATCAATTTCTTTAAAGGTGGACAGTAACAGTAGACACGTCAGTCGCTCTAAAAGAGAGGTGCGCCTAATAACTCTGGACGTGACTGCTCAAAGCCCTCATGAGACTTCACGAACTGCAGTGGTCAAAGTTATAATAGATGTGAGCCATACCTCTTTTGGTCTCAGCACAGAAATTAATATGTTGCTCGTCAGTGTTGTTGCGGTTTCACTTGGCACCATAATCATACTCACAGTAGTTGCTGTGATGCTGTTTTTTGTTAAGTTGAGAAATCAGAAGCGTGAGCAAAATACTCATAAGCAAAAGACTATTTCGGGCACCCTGTTGCACAAGCTTCAGGAAACAAAATTTTCAGCAAATGAAATTATTTACCATCAGGCTCTTCCTGGATATGCCTCTGATCAAAGTGGCAACTCTGGGGGTCCTTACACTCGTGGTGGTTCCTTGGATCCCTCCCATTCCAGTGGTCGTGGCTCTGCAGAGGCAGAAGCTGCGGAGGATGATGAAATCAGAATGATTAATGAATATCCTCGGGTGTCAAGCATCTCCTCTTCCATCCAAGAGCGCATCTCTGCCAGAGGTCCGGACTCCGGGATCCAACAAGATGCAGATCAGCTCTCAGATGTGTCCGGTGAGCCTTCCTTAGACTGGTTCAAAGGGAAGAAACTGGGCAGTGTGAATGGGACTTTAATAGCTGGCCAGGTGCCAGTCTACAGGGATGATCGGGGGGTGTATGTGGGTGTGGGGCGAGGACTCAGCATCTCTCAGCCTAAAGACTATACTTTCCCTGAGGACGGAAAGCCTCCTGTGGACGGCTCCCTCACGGCCATTGTGGCCAGTGATGAGGAGCTGAGGGGCAGCTACAACTGGGATTACCTTCTGAACTGGTGTCCCCAGTTTCAACCCTTAGCTAATGTTTTTACTGAAATAGCACGTTTAAAAGACGAAACTGCGCCTCCTCATCCTCGTAGGTCATTTCATCACAAAGCAAAAGCAGAGTCAAGAATTGATCCTCCGCCTCTAATAACCTCTGTGGCCCACCCTGGGGCCAAAACTGTACCCCCAAAGCCTGCTATATCCAGAACTTTCCCCCTACTAGCCTCTTTCCGCAGATCTCCCATCAGCACTGACGGATCAATCTCTTCAGTCGCAATGTCTCCAAGTTTCTCCCCTTCTCTTTCACCACTAGCAGCACGTTCACCTGCAATCACACCCTTCAGTGTCTCACAGGGACCCTCTGCCTCCTTGATTAGCACGAATGAACACAGTTTTGAACACAGCGAGGAGGCAGATTTGAGGATTTGAAATCTAGCGGATGGATGAAAACTGAGTCACTGCTGTCCATAACGTCTACTGTATGGCTACAACTTGAAAGCATGAATATTGACTTTTTGTCTGTTCTGTTTGCCTAGAGGCCTTGTGCCCAGTGATAGTCTATGATCAAATAGCTAAAACTGTGGTGCTTCAAGGAAAAAAAAAACACTAATTACTGGCCAAAAAAGGACAATGCCTTTTTGTGTGTTTGTACAAGTGTGACAGCAACTTCTTCTGTTGTTTTTTTAGTGTTAATTTGCACATTGAAAAAGAGATTCATTCATGATGTCAATATTTTGTACAGAGTCATTGTTTATATTTTTATACTTCCTTGTGGTATTTGACAAAAAAAATGCATTCATGTGTCAAAAGATTACAAAACCTCAAATTATACAGTATTTCTATATTTGTATATTTGCAGCCTTCGTATTGTGTTTGTTGTATTTTATGTCATCTCAAACTTGTGACTTAACTAAAGCTTTTCACAAAGGAATGCATTTGGATTTTTGTATGAGATAGCTGTAAATATTTAAAGAGGAAGAGATATCTTTGCTATAACAAATGCAACATCAGTCAGAATAGAGAATTCTGTGACTATATTTTCTTGAAATCCAGTGTTTGATCTCCCATCTGAAATTAATAATGAATGTGAAATGCGGAAAAAGTCTCGAAGACTTTATCACGCATCCCTTCGAACCCTGCGAAGGAAAACAGACTTTAACATCCGCTGATTTTACTTACTCACAAGGTTCCCTGGCTTTAAGCTCCCACAGCAAGCCTTACTGTTTTTCATACTGCATTGTAAAGAACAATGAGCATTGTGGAAAATGTAAAGTAGTTCGCTATAACCACACTCTAATCAGACAATGTAAGCATGTGTTTGTTTTATCATATGATGTCGCACAGTAAGAAAAAAAACTATAAGCTGTAAACGTTCTAAAAGGGTTTTAAAATTTGGAGCAGGTTTCTCTGACTTCTGTCTTTGTTAGTGCGTATGTGTGTGCTTCTGCTAAGAAACTTCAATCAAGTCAGTTTTGCAGCACATTTCATTCATTCAGCATAGTGATGGAAAAACAACTGTTCTAAAAAAGTATGTGTTTTTGACTGTTGAAAGGCCATTAGTAAATGTTTTAGATACTGTACTACTTTTACACAGATGCCTATGATTAAATGTAAATGATCAGAACTGTGTTTTGGGCAGCCTCTACAGACTAAATAATGTGTCAGTTTATGTTAACAGGTTAGTGCTCATATTACTCAGTTTTAGATTTTATTACTTAAATTTTAATTTTGCTACGTGGTTAATATTCTGAAAAAAATAAATTACTCAAGAACGCTGCCTATTTAATTGAAGAAGGCACTTTGTTTTTGTATTTTATTTTTTTTTTTTTTATTTAACAGTTGCTGAGAAGTAACCAACTCTAATTTCATTCTCATGATTGTCAGTACTGAAGAGAAATAATAAAATAAATTGCCTCCAATGGTTACACAGATCAATGTAGGCCTGTCCAAGAAATGTTTTGAGCAAAAAGTGCCTGATTAAATCTCTTCCTATCTTGTTTTTGCCTCTGTTACATCTTTAATTCAGCTTTTTGCAGAATGTATATTTCATAAAGTCATAGTTCAGTGCAGATGTGCATTTGAACATTACATGTATTCACAGCTGAAGTATCTGAGATTATGACAAAGCTTTTTATTTGCAAAAGTTACATGTGTTCAACCCTTTGAGCCAGGCTCTTGTGAACTCTGCTGTTTTGTAGAAGAAAGTGTTTCTTCACACCTCTCAAACGTAGTTGTGTTTAAAACCCACCAGCAAATCTGTCTTTAAAATAAAATCTTCATATGAAATGCTGCCAATATTTAAAAGGTGAAAGGATGAACCTGAAATAGTAGCCCTAAACAAATCTCAGCAGTTGATGTAATTCCCTTGTTTTAATACTCCTTGTAAAGTAAACAAATTAAAGAAGTTAGATTTTATTTAAAATAATTAAAAATGATTAAAAGGAGCTTCTAATTGATTTTTAAAAAATCCATGGTACTTCAGTTCTCAGACTTACATCAGCTTTGAATAAATAAACTTTTCCACACTTGTGGTCTTTCATTTTTCTGTGTTTTAAAAATAAATATATGCAAATGCTGTTAGTAAATTATGTTTTTGTGTCCACACTTGTTATTGGACTTTACTTTATACCTCTTACATATCAAGGGCAGGAGAATAGCCCTGCTGTCCATTTCAAACAGAGCTGAAACTAATCAGTGTTGTTTTCTTGTGCCAGTGGCTGCCTCTTACCGGTTATTGGACTCAGACATAAACCTGGTATTCTGAGTGATTACACAAACACGCCAAGGTAAACTAGGCTGTCTGTTTTTCCTTTCTCTTTTTTTTCCCCTTAGGTTGATGATACAGTCAGACGCTAGTGTCATAGCAGACTCAAGTTATAAGATGAATTCTGTGACCCAAACCTTGGATCAGAGGCCAGTATATACACAACAGAACTCAGATGATATGAGTAAGAGGGCAAAAGCCAGGTCATTACTCAAGCCTAAATTAAAGACTACATGTAAACCAAGTGAAATCTATCATTTTCCAGTCAACACAACTTGGGATACACAAAAGACTGCTTGGTTCGAGTGCAGTCTTCAGGTTGGCCTTTTCCCCTCACTGACGTACTCCCTTAAATTCTGAATGTCTTAAAGACTTCTCTGCTGTAATATGTGTTCTTTTAAAATCAAATTTCTTGATCCCCCACTCCCCATTGGTTAATCTAAAGCCTTATTTTATTTTTTTTAATCTCACCAAGTAACAAAATATATATTTTCATATAAGGAATGCCAAAAGGAAGCCATACTAATGTCAACGTAAAAATGACAAAATATGTACAAGTTAACAGGATTGTGGATTCTAACAAAAAAATAAGCATCATTGATTTTTTTTATTCCATTTATAATCCTTGCCATCAAATCACTTCAGACAGGTTGGTAATGTTACTGACAATAAAGAGAATATTGTAAGAATACCACAGGTAAACAAGTACCAGGAATATACCGGTACTTAATATTCTTGAAGCATGTGTTGTGTTCTCTTATTTATTAAGCTGTCTTTGGTTATATTGTTCATGCTTAAAGACAAAACAAAGGTTCATTTCTGAAGACCTTCAACAGAACTTTGTTGTTATTGTTGTGGATTAGTTCCACACTTTGATCAAAGAATTATGCTAATCAAGTTATTTTACTGTGCTGCTCCAAATGAAATCTTTTTGCATCACATAACTCTAAATAGATGCAATACTGTCTTTTTTCTTGCAATACAACAAATGAAAGACTGTCTACACGGGGGCACCGTGCCCTTTGGTTTTTGCGTAGCTAAACAAATAATGCATTTTTCGTCTCAGCTAGGTGACTACTTTTTGATGAATGTATTCACTAAAACAGTGGTATTTCATGTTCACTGAAATAAGTAATCAAAGCTTTGTCCTTTTAGTTCAAAGAAAATAAATAATGCCCATAATAGGAATAGGACACCTTGTCTTAACAAGGTGTCTTAATAATCCAATGCTGAGTTGGAAGTTTGTGACACATTTGTTAGCCTGAAATGATGGATGCAAAAGGACACTTCAGGATTAAGTTAAGCCTCATTGTGCTCTGAATCCAGGTAACCAATCACTGATCACTGATTACAGAGCACTTGAGAAATTAATGAAGTGATGTTGCTCAAAACAACATGCAGTTTAGCCACAACTGGAGCTCTGAAAGTAAAGGGATAGTCTGCTGTTTTTGATGTAATGTTTTGTCATATCGTCATCAGTCATCGGGCACTGTCTACGAAGACAAAATAAATTGCTTGAATTAGATTAATAGCTAGCCAAATGAGAGTCTGCTTTATTGTTTTTCAAGCTTATAAAAAATTCTTTCTCAATACTGACATACCGGTGTGAAAAAAATACTGCATTAGCTAATTGTTAACCTCTACGCTTTTGCATGACATTTGTTTAGCTTGTCACAATGTCATATCAATGTCTGTGTTACTTTATGAATGTTTGTGTGCTGAGCATAGACTCACAGAAACAGTGTGTTTATGCTGATGATGCTGAGGTTGTGAATGTATCAGTTCATTGGATTAGCACATTGAGTCAGTCCGAAAGTTTTTGGGTAAACTGTCACCATCATCAGCATTCACGTAGTAACTTCTACATTCATTTGAGGAAACAAAAATAAATTACACAAATGTTTCATGCAAATTTGTAGAGGTTTAATATTAGATGATGTAATGCTCTTCTTAATCAATACATTATTTCTGAGCAAGAGTTGTTGTATGTATGTATATATATACACTCACCGGCCACTTTATTAGGTACACCTGTCCAACTGCTCGTTAACACTTAATTTCTAATCAGCCAATCACATGGCGGCAACTCAGTGCATTTAGGCATGTAGACATGGTCAAGACAATCTCCTGCAGTTCAAACCGAGCATCAGTATGGGGAAGAAAGGTGTTCCCTTTCAGTCAATTCACTCGGTACAACATCATGTATGGGAACCACGCCCCTGCGTGTCC